GGGCTCATAATTACAGTTAATGTGTCGGACCGGGTCGGGCTCGGACACAAGGTGCACGGGCTCGGGTAGGATCGGGTTTTATTTTTTGGGCCCGATCTAAGCTCTAAGAATCATTAACCTACTTTAACGAATTTATTTATACAACCACATATTTCCCGCATTTTGACATCAGTGATGCAGTGAAGATAGTCTCTATTTCTTGACGCCAACCCTTCCCATTAATCCGGGCTTGGGTCCGGCAGCTAGTTGAGCTGGTTTGCTCCCTTAAGTGGCTGGGTTAGACTAAACTATATACATACTGTATTTTCAAAGACTACAATACAACATCCCGAAATATGTAGTCTAACAAAACGCAGTTTAAAGAAGGTAGCCTACCTGGCGAAATTGCAAACAGAAATTAAAAGGTCCACGACATATAATCGGGCCATATCCAACAAAAACCAGTTTTTAAGAACGTAGCCTACATGGCGAAATTGAACTACTTTCTGGACCAACATACGCAACAGTCGTCAGAGGGATGAGGACGTTAGGCACTAGGCAGCCTTTAGACCCCGGTATGCCAGATTACCAGTCCAGCCCTGGCCGTCACTCTGAAAAACACTTCAGTGTCAAAGACAATAATCTATCACCAAGCATCCACTGAACCTCATGTATACACAGGACCCAGCATCTTGCACTATGCACCTTTGCACTAAGTCCTTCTAGCTGAAGTCTCATCTGTACATACTGTATTTAATTGTTTGTTTTTTGTAGTTCTTTTTTTTTTGTATGTCTTTAAGTACACTGAGAGCAACGACAAACTACTTATCTACTATGCCTAAAATATGTGCCAATTACATGTTTATATTAATGTTACCATACTTTTTATAAACATCTAAAACTAAACAAACAGACGAAGAGCTGGGGGCTGGATATCGAAACCACAAACCTGGGGGTGTGAGGCCCCCATGTTGCCCCCAGTCTCTACCAGCTAGAGCAGGGCTCTTCAAATCTGGACCTCAATTCCAAATCCAGGCCTTGTTTTCAGTTCTCCCAGGTAGTTAGTTTAATAATTACTGATTCTGATTGGTCAGAGGCTTCACACCTGGCTCACAGGTAAAGGAAGGCTGGAAAACCAGCAGTGCTCGGACCTCGAGGACCTTTATTTGAATAGCCCTGAGCTAGAGGTTAACTAGCTCTCCAAACCTTTTGCAGAGTGAAAGACAACTAGGTCTAGTGTCAACCCCTGAGGCTGATCTTGACCCCCTTACCTTCTCACTGTGGATCTACAATTCCATAACACCCACCCCCCTCCCCCCAAGTCTCAACAGGTACTTCCGGCAAAAAAAAAAGGCTTTTGGAAACTTACAGTGAAATTTCTACAACAGCATGGCATGGTTTACAAATCACTTATGACCTCAGTTTTTGCCTCAGTTGCCATCTTTCAATGATCGCACTACAATGCTAATTCCATGTCACATAAGGCTGAGCAAGCCTCTGATTGGTCAATAAATAGGATATCCTGTCTGGGTGTGTCTGTCAAGAGAGAATAGCGCTCAGTCTGACAGGACTGCTGATAAGATCCAGGTGAAGTGAATCAATGGGACGCCCTCACCCCTGACTTACAGAGACATAATAGGCCTCTTGTCTCCTACTGATTTACAGAGATTAAAAGGACCAACTGCAGTGGTGCTTAGAAAACTGTATAAAACATAATAAAGACTGAAAAAAAGGCTTGAGGTCAGACCCTCTGTATGCAGCACACAGTGTTTCTGCACAGTCTCACCCTCACATCCTGTATGACGATGTTTCTGCTTTTCAGATTGTCTGTCTGAGAATAACTTCTGCATCATCCTAATGATTTAGCTGCTTTATGTTCATGCAACAACAAAGTGGACCATCACACCAAGTAAGTACAAAACAGCCTTTATCAATAGGGTTAAAACATCATATGAGATGTACCTGGTCTGTCAGTATATCAGCATGAGAGCAAAGGTGGCCCTGGAAGTGGTGTGCATGTACAGTATGCAACAGCAGAGCAAAGTTAGAGACACCCGCTAAAAACTTTGCCTGCAATCTAACAATAAAACAGACGCCTGGAACAAGAAACGGGGCAGAGGGAACAAGGGGGCCGACCGCGGGCTGCAGTCTGCAAGGCTGATAAAGGCTCCTCCCCAGCTGTACTCCATCAGGCACCATCAGCCAATGAGGGAAATGTATTAAAGGTCACATGAGTTAACAAACAGCAGCCAGCCATGCTGCTACAAGGCAGGGCCGTAACAATAGCCTCTGACAGGATGTACTGGTCCACAATACAGTGTTTTCTGCAGCATCCCCCCCTCCATTCTTCATTTCACACTTTGTGTCTTTGCAGAAAACAGCTATGAGTCACATGAATGACACAGGAAACCAAGCAAGCTGAAGACTTTTTAAATTTTCCACCTGCACTTGCACGTTCTCCCCGTGTCATCATGGGGTTTCTTCCAGGTGCTCTATGGTTTCCACCTACAGACCAAAAACATGCTGAGGTGAGTTGAAGTTACCATGTTGTCCGTAGTTGTGCATGTGTGTGTGAATGGTGTGTTTGCCCTGTGAGGGGTAGGTGCCCCATTCTGGGTTATTCCCTGCCTTACACCCATAGCCTCTATGATAGGCTCCAGACCCCCACAACCCTGCACAGGACAAATGGGTATAGAAGATGGATGGATGGATGGGTGGATGGATGGACGGGCAATATTAATAAGCATTAACCCTAATAACCAAGGATGGACATAGCTTGTACGCAAGTACGCATTCACCTTTAAAAACGATACGTGCGACAATTGATTGTGGTAACAGTGAAAATGCGTATTTATTTTACGTTCATTTGCACTGATATGAAAACAAATTATAATGCATTTTAATCTTTATATGCTAACTCAACTTCATTTGCAGTATAAAGGTTAAATTGCAAGGTGTTTTCTTGTCATAGCAGCGCAAATGCACAGAAGTGGACATTTACGCTTTTACAATCAATCGATTGGCACAGGTATTGTTTTTAAAGGTGAATGCATACTTGCGTACCAGTTATATCCATCCCTGCTAATAACAAAATCTTCTTTATATACACTGAAATTTTAATTTTATTAATGAAGGGGTGTAGGTGTTGATAGTTTATGTTTAAGAGCAATCGGAATGCTACTGTATGTCTTGCTGAAGTGCTAAACATTCAGCCTTGTGGTTTTGTCACTTCTTTCTTAAAGGTTCCACTCCCCTTTATCTGCCTGCAGAGTGTGAGAATGGAAACGACAGAGACAGTGAAGGTACAGAGGATGACGAAGTGAGTGTTAGTTCCCACAGATCTGGGCTCAGCGACACACACACATATGGATCATCTGATGCTCCTGTTTCTTCTCATTGCTGGGCTCACAGGTGAGTGTCTCTCATTACAGTGGTACTGAATAGAGATCTCTCTCCTGCTCTTCACACACTGTCAGATACAGTTTGGAGATCAGGATGGAGATCTGCTGCTACATCAGAAGAAATTACTATACGTAGGTTGTGCAAAGATTTGGAAATAGCTGCTTCAAGTAACATACTCTTGAGAACTGGAAATATTATTTGGATTTTTGCAAGCATTTATTATATTTTGTAAGTTTTTTAATAAAAAAAATATTTGAACATGAAAATATAATCGCTTTATATAGTTATTTTGCAATATTTGCATTTATCAGGATCAGGATTTTGATACTATAAGAATAATACTCAAATATACTGCATAATGCTGCAATGTCTGTCCTAGTGTACAAGCAGTACAAAGCCTCAGATAAACTGCCCATGTCTCTTGTACCCCTTGCATTTCTTACTGGGGTCGTATCAGTGCTAAACACCCTCAGTCATCATTAGCAGACCCACAAACATGCATTCACTGTGTGTCAATGCTTGATAAAATTCGGGAAAGCAGACTGAGAGTGCCACTAGCTAACAAATAGGGCTCGGGCCTGACCAGAGCTACTGCCTAAGACACGGCTAACACCCATCGTCTGTGAGCTCCTTTGAGCTGAGCGGACATGATGGAAACTGAATCTCTGTAGGATTTACCCCCCCAAAAAAAAATAAAGGGGGGAGAACTGGGTGATGAGGACACGGGGGGGCAACTCTGACCTCCTGGACATGGGTTATATAGAGGAGGAGGAGGATGATGACCATCTCCAGAACACTATGTGGGTTCTGTTTGGAATACAGTCTGCATTTGGGTCATGTCTTGTATTGATGTCATGGCACCTGGTTATTGAACTCAGAACACCCCTTCACAACAGCATTTATTTGTTTATCAAATTCAACGATGAATCAAAGATGACACCAAGATGTTTACCATGTGACCGGAAGTTTTCTGAAATCGGCCCTAATTGTTCTCTGAGATCCTGAACAGAACAAAACTAGGGCTGGGCGATATCATATCGAGATTAAATCGCGCAAGCGCAATAATCACTAGGGCTTCAGATGACAGGCGCAACATTTGGCCATGAGCCAGCTTTTCTGTGCTATACGGGCATTTATTTACGCCCACAATTTCAGCAGTTTAGTAGTATGGCTAAACTATTAATGAGGCTTTGTATCAGAGGATGTGAGCAGAGTGGAGCGGTGAGAATTTCCGCTCCACGCTCACTAGGCTGTTGGCTTCGCCCGCTCCTCCGCTCTAATTCGCACTAAGCCGCTCCGCTCAACACCGCTCCTCACTCCACTAAAATTTCCTCCCGCTCCAGTCAAATCGCTCCATTTTAAAAGAGGGACAAATAATCTGCATGCCTAACAAATGTCACCTTAAACCGAAGCCTTATGTCATAAAGAAATATGAGCAACGGCAACATTGCCAGTCAGAACAGAAAATATTTATAAAATATTATTTTTAAGAAACTTATACGCAACAACGGACAGGTTTGGCAATGGCATTCCACACAAAAATGAATAGGCTTAAAAATAAAGGAATCAGTGGGCTTTATTACGGTGGCCCCTAGAGACAAAATACACACAAAAGAAAAAGCAGAAACAAAATGAAAATGCGCTGCAAATTAAAAAAACACACGCAAAAGAAAAAGCAGAAACAAAATGAAAATGCGCAGCAAGTAGACAATCCCAAAACGGAAGTGCTCCACCACGCTAGGGGGCGCGGTGAGCTCATGTGGCCCAGTCGCTACACAGTAGTGATGGGAAGTTCGACTGAATTAACTGATTTGATTCTCCCAAGAGCCCTCGCGGCATTTGCTGCGGACATGCAGTTACGCTATTGAAAGGAATAAAATTAACGCAGCTGTTCACAGGGCTGTCAACTTTGGTCAGCCGGTTGGCGTGAGATTTTGCAGCGCATTTTCATTTTGTTTCTGCTTTTTCTTTTGCGTGTGTTTTTTAAATTTGCAGCGCATTTTCATTTTGTTTCTGCTTTTTCTTTTGCGTGTGTTTTTTTAATTTGCTGCGCATTTTCATTTTGTTTCTGCTTTTTCTTTTGCGTGTGTTTTTTTAATTTGCTGCGCATTTTCATTTTGTTTCTGCTTTTTCTTTTGTGTGTGTTTTTTTAATTTGCTGCGCATTTTCATTTTGTTTCTGCTTTTTCTTTTGTGTGTGTTTTGTCTCTAGGGGCCACCGTACTTAATAGCCTAAAGAATATACAGGCTAAGCATCCACGTTTTAAATTCCTCAATTTTTTTTCTGTTGATGCTGCTGCTGCGTCTCTATAAAATAAAATTTCACTGACAGCGTTACGTGAAATTAAAAAAAAATCCTATTACACCTACTTTGAATGACAAAATGAATTTATTTGATTACCAATATTTACTTTATAGGCTTTTATACTTTATGGACTTGATATGCTACAACCATATAAAACTTGCTCACGTTTTGCTCTGGCTTCCGCCTGTTCGCGTACACTGTAAAAAAAATATACTGTAAAATAACAGTCAAAAGTCTGCCAGGTCCTGAAGTCCAATAGTGCTGATGTATATTTGCATAGTATGACAGGGTACTGCCTTTGTTTAAACTTTTAACCATGATGGTGTTGAATAAGGCAACAGTATAAAATCCTGTATAAAATCAATGTATTGATAAAGATTTTAATAAAAAAAATATATATTCTCAATGGTTGTTTTGATGCAGTTTTTGAAGTTAGTTTTTTTTGGCGATTTCTGGACCTGCCTATTCTTCTGATGACCAATAGTGCTGATGTATGTTTGGTGAAAATGTTTTTCACCGTTAACAGATTTTGTCTAGCACTCCTGCTGCTAGACTTTTGACTTATTTTACAGTATATATTTTTTTACAGTGTGTGGCAGCCTCATTGCTTTTAGATCACAAGTTGGGACAGAAGGACAAATCAAATCAATTTGCTCATTTAATATTTAAATTTTTTATTAGGCTTGATTTTAGAAAACCATATTTAGAAACCCACCACAACTGAAAATGGAATGCCACAGATATTACATAGATATTGTCCCATGTATTATTAGGTATGAAGCAGCCCAGGGTAACAGCTCTTAAGCTAGGGGCTTGTGTCAACAATCAAGCTATAGCCGGTGAATGCCAGGAATAATCCTACTCTGTTTTGGGTTTGGTATAAATTTTCATCGAGCCTGATTGGGATATTTAAATAGGAAGCAGAAATTTAATACTAGACATGCACTTACTGATCTTCATAAGTGTATATAGCTGAGGTACCCAAAAAAAATAATCTCACCAAACTACCCTTATACGGTTGGAAATACAACAAACCACGGCTGGAGCAACACTTACTACAGTATATCCCATGGCTGTGGAATTTATACTGTTGCCCTATTCAACACCATCATGGTTAAAAGTTTAAACAAAGGCAGTACTCTGTCATGTTATGCAAATATACATCAGCACTATTGGTCTTCAGGACCTGCCAGACTTGTAACTGTTATTTTACAGTAGATTTTTTTACAGTGTACGCGAACAGGCGGAAGCCAGAGCAAAACGTGAGCAAGTTTTATATTGTTGTAGCATATCAAGTCTATAACGTAAAGTATAAAAGCCTATAAAGTAAATATTGGTAATGAAATAAATTCGTTTTGTCATTCAAAGTAGGTATAATAGGATTTTTTATAGAGACGCAGCAGCAGCATCAACAGAAAAAAATTGAGGAATTTAAAACGTGGATGCTTAGCCTGTGTATTTTTTAGGCTATTAAGCCCACTGATTCCTTTATTTTTAAGCCTATTTTGTGTGGAATGCCATTGCTAAACCTGTCCGTTGTTGCCTATATGTTGCTTAAAAATAAATATTTTCTGAGTGGCAATGTTGCCGTTGCTCATATTTCTTTTTGATACAAGGCTTCGGTTTAAGGTGACATTTGTTAGGCATGCAGAATACAGTATTTGTCCCTCTTTTAAACTGGAGCGAGCATGGAGCAATTTGACTGGAGCGGGAGGAAATTTAGGTGGAGTGAGGAGCGGTGTTGAGAGGAGCGGCTTAGTGCGAATTAGAGCAGAGAGGAGCGGGCGGAGCCAACAGCCTCGTGGTGAGGAGCGGAAATTCTCACTGCTCCACTCCGCTCACATGCTCTGATACAAAGCCTCATTAATAATTTAGCCATACTAAGCTGCTTAAATTGTGGCCGTAAATAAATGTCCGTATAGCACAGAAAAGCTGGCGCACTGCCAAATGTTGCCCCTGTCATCTGAAACCCTAGTGATTTTGCGCATGCGCGATTTAGTCTCGATATGATATTGCCCAGCCCTAATCTAAACTCATGACCTCTGTCTTGTTTTTATTAATCTGGAGGAAAGTCGTTGCTGTCCTGTTCTTAATATCCTCAAGACAGTCAGAAAGGGCCGTCAGAGAGCAGCAGTCACCAGGTTTTAATGGCAGATAGAGCTGCGTATCACCGGCATAGCAATGATATTTTACATTATAACGTTCGCAAATAGAGCCCAAAGGAAGCATGTATAGAGGGAATAGGAGAGGGCCTGTATCACAGCATTGGATATGTTTACAAGTAAGGCCATAGTACTGAAGGGGTGTGGCCATCCCACACAGTGACGAGCCCATTCATTTACCACATCTGGGCCTTTTACTAGTGATTTAAGGTCCTGGTTTTCCTCTCTGACCCTAGAACACACTCCCAGGCTCAGGTTGCCCATCCCACATCCTGCTGTAACCCTTCCCAAGATCCAACACTGCTTTTGCTTTTACAGTGTCTCTCTCTTGTCCTTATGCCAAAATGACAGTCTGTGTCTTTTACAGCATCAACATGGTTCTGCTAAACACACATGACCCTAATCCAAGTATTATACAAACCAAGCAGTATTACTTAGAGATGCTGTGATGTGGAAAATCTTTATTTATTTATTTATTTCCCACAGGTGCTGACAGTGTGTCCACAGTGAGAGAAGTGTCTGTACAGAGTGGAGGATCTGTCACCATCCCATGTTTCTATAATGACAGATATAAAACAAATGTGAAATACTGGTGCAAATGGAGTTCATGTCCTCCCATATTATGCACTGATTCACCCCAGGAAGGTAAAGTCTCAATCAGAGATGATCCTGACCAGCGAGTCTTCGCTGTGACCATCAACAATCTGACAGCTGGGGACTCAGATTATTATTCATGTGGTGTGAGGATCAGTGGACGTTCAGATGCTAGAGCATCACTTCACCTTTCAGTCATTGATGGTAAGATGTCCGTACTGCATACTGTAGCCAATGAGATGCACAGTATGTAACGTCATTCAATCATGAAGGAAGGACACAAACACAGAAAAAATAAAAATATTTTGGAAACATTTTATTTTATTTTAAGACTTTATAGACTAGATTCCAATTTTACTTTTGTTCACCAGCATAATTAAAAACTTTAAAAAGTAACAGCATCAGTTTAAATTTATTGTCTTTCACTCTGCAGCAGAGTCCTGGGTATGACGTTAAACTGCACCCGCAAGTGGTCATCCAAATTGCAGGGAAACAATTTTTTGGGGGGTTGGTGGCGGGATTGGCACTCCAGCCACCATAAAACAACTCACAACTGCTCGATACAAACAAGCATGATACTCTTCTGCTCTATGTGGGAGTAGCTCTGCTGCAGCCTCCTGCAGGAAGGCTGCACAAACCATGAAGGGAGCCCCATCCCCGGATGAGTCGAAACCATCTGAGAGCTAATAGGGTCAGGCCTGTTGGGGATCAGGGCTGGTGTGGTGTTGAGGCGTCGCTTGCTGCAGGGCGGCACTTGGGCCCCTGCTTGAGGTGACCCATCCAAGTGGGTGTGTGGAATGTCTTGTCTCTCCGGCAAGATGACCATCTTCCTCTGCTGTTGGGGGAGCTTTGTAAACTCCGCGTTTCAGTGGCAGCAGTCTCTGAGGTATGCAGACTGAGGAGTGGTCAGATCTCTGTAGGTGGGTATACCTACTTTTGGTCTGGTCGGTCTGACGGCTGCCATACTTAGGGAGTAGCTGTTGCCGTAGCGGATCGGCTTCTTCCAATGATGTCTGATGTCACTCCTTTCAAGGAGTGTATTATAAGACTCAGGCTAAGGCACACTTTGGGTGTCTTTTCTGTTGTCTCAGTGTATGCCCTGACCATGCTGAGTGATGTCTCGTTGAGGGAGGCATTTTCCTTGCAACTTTGTTGGTGGTTGAAGAGTGCCTACGAGTTGACACTCTGGTCATGGGTGAATTCAATGTGACCACTGGCACTGACAGGGCTGGCTATGAGGATTGTGTCGGTCCCCATGGGTCTGGAGACCGTGGTGAAAGTGGTTCCATGTTCCGTGACTTTGCGAAATGTCAGGGACTGTGAGTCGCTGGATCCTGGTTCCAACACCCTGAGCCGCATCGTTGGACTTGGTACTCCAATACTGGTGGTGTGGCGAAGAAGATCGATCACATCCTCGTGGGCAGACGCTGGAGTCTCCTGCAGAACTGCAGGGTCTACAGAAGTGCCCAGTTTGTGAATTCTGACTGCAGACTTGTTATTGCTACTCTGAAGATTCAGCTTAGATCCAGTAGGCTACCACCTACAGTACTAGGAGAACGAGGCTGGACTTAGCCAGACTCCAAGATCAAGCTGTTTCAGATGAGTTTGTACACAATTTGTGTGAACTTGCCGAATTGGGTGCGACTGCTAACTCTTTTATGATGTGGGAGTCCTTCTGTGATAAGACTCTGAAGGTTGCTGAGGGTTGTGTTGGTGTTGCCAGTGTTTCCAGAAGGAGGTGTTTCACCTTGCAGGGCACCCTGGATATTATCGAGAGGAGTCGGAGCGCACGACTTGGTGGCAACTCCAGTCTGTACCGGGAACTGAGAAGCACAGCTGTGAGGGCTCTGAGGGCAGAGAAAGAGGTGCTTCTTAGACAAATCTGTGAGCAGGTGACACACCATCTATGGTCTCCTGCTTACAGAGGAATCGAAGCATTACGCACATCTGAATCTGTTCCTTGGAGACTTGCAGTCAGGGCGAGTGATGGAACAGTCCGTACTGATGACACTGCTGTTGTGACCCGCTGGACTGGCTATTTTGAGCAGTTGTTTAAAGCTGACCCTCCAGCTAGGATATTGGACATCTCTAAGTCCATGGTTCTCACAGCTGACCCTCCGATCAGCTCTAAATCTCACTGAGATTGCACAGGTGGTGAATCAGCTAGGGTAGGGAAGGCCGCAGGGATCTGAGGTATCCGGGGAGAACTTCTCCAGGCTGGTGGTAAGGCTGTCCTCCTGGCATTGCAGGCAACCTTTACTTCCATTTTGGAGTCAGGCATCATCCCAACTGACTGGAATATGGGACTTGTGGTCCCTATCTGGAAAGGGAAGGGTGATCGCCTGGATTGCGGCAACTACAGGGGGATAACACTGCTCTCAGTGCCGGGTAAGGTCCTTGTCAGGGTCATCCTTAATAGGATCCGTGAACACTTGCTTGTCTGTCAGCAACCGGAGCAGTCTGCTTTTACGCCTAAGTAGTCTACCATCGATCGTATCCTTGCACTGAGGGTTCTCATCGAGCGCAAGCATGAATCTCGGCAGCCTTTGTCGATTTTCATAAAGCGTTCGGCTCAGTTGATCAAGTTGCCCTGTGGGACATCCTGAGACTTCGCAGGATCCCCCTGAAGTTGCTGGACATCATGGCCGGCTATACACTGGTACACAGCAAATGTGCCAGTGTTAAATTAACACTGCATGGTGTCTATATGTGACCACACCATTCAGTGTTACCTTTTCAGTGTGCAGTGAGTGTTGTTTTTAAAGTGTTAATATTTATTAACTCTTATAGTGTTAAATTTACAACCTAGAGTGTTGTCAAAGAGTCTCCACCTCTACATATGTGCCCCATTTTAATATGCGAACAAGACATCATGAGGATCAGAAGAGCCATCCCAGATTTACCCACCATCATGAGAAATACTCTGACCAAACAGGACCTTACAGCTTTTTCTTGTTTTGTATTAAAGTTTTTTTTGCTTGGCTCTGACAAATCTTGAAGATTAAAGAGCTGGGAGTATGTTGTTGTTGCATCATTGAAAAAACTCTTGAAGATGTACAGAACGTGTCTCCAGATTGGTATATATATATTAATAGTGTGGTAGTATGTTTGACTGTCAATTTGGGAAGAGGTGGAGACACGTTGTCCTAACACTCTAGGTTGTAAATTGAACGCTATAAGAGTTAATAAATATTAACACTGTAAAAACAACACTCACTGCACACTGGAAAGTGTTAAAGGTAACACTGAATGGTGTGGTCACATATAGACACCATGCAGTGTTAATTTAACACTGGCACATTTGCTGTGTACTGTGAGTGCTGTGCAGAGTGGAGGGAGAACCTCTGCGTTCTTCCCAGTTGATTCTGGCATTTATCAGGGGTGTATTTTTGCTCTTACTCTGTTCAATACTTGTATGGACTGGGTGTTGGGCAGGGTCGTGGGGTCCAGCAGCATGGGTCCAGTTGAGCAGGGTCGTGGGCCATCCGTTGTTAAAGAAAGATTTACTGATCTTGACTTTTCTGACGATGCTGTGATCATAACAGAGTCAATGGAGACTCTGATCGGGGTTCTCAAGAGACTGAGCGAGGAGTCTGAGTGTCTGGGATTGCCTGTGTCCAGGTTAAAGACCAAGATTCAGGCATTTAATGACTTCTTAGGCACAGCCATCAGTAGTGTGTCTGTCTGCGGGGAGCATGTCGACCTTGTCGTGAGATTTACCTCCCTCTGCAGTGACATTCATGTCTCTGGTGACTCTTCCTATGAAGTCAGCAGATGAATTGAAAGAGCATGGGGGCTGGAAAGGAGTGTGCTGCGCTCCCGATATCTTTGCAAGAGGATGAAGGTCCAAGTCTGTAGAGTCCTGGTGCTCCCTGTCTTGCTGTATGGCTGTGAGACATGGACACAATCCAGTGAACGGAGACAAAGACTGGATTCCTTCGTTACTGTGTCTCTTCGGGGAATCCTTGGGTACCGCTGGTTTGACTTTGTATCGAATGAGCAGTTGCTAGAGGAGTCCCGAATGAGACACATTACCTGCATTGTGAGGGAGCATCAATTATGGCAATACGGCCACATAGCACGTTTCCCTGAGGGTGATCCGGCTCGCAGGATCCTCATTGCTGATCACCCAAGTGGCTGGACCAGACCAAAGGGGACGCCAATGTAACACCTGGCTGCGGTAGATGGATGGCCATTTCCGGAGGGTAGGACTGGACCGTGTATCTGCCTGGGGGATCACCAGCCGGGATCCCAAGGAGTTTTGCTGTGTGGTGGGTGTGGCAACGCACTGCATCAGCACATGCTCCCTGTCCTGACCTGACTCTGCAGCAGGTTTGGAGCTATTTAACCTCTAGCTGGTAGAGACTGGGGGCAGCGTGGGGGCCTCACACCTCCAGGCTTGTGGTTTCGATATCCAGCCCCCGGCTCTCTGTCCTTTTGTTTAGTTTTAGATGTTTATAAAAAGTATAGTAACATTAATATAAACATGTGACTCATATTTTATGCATAGTAGATAAGTACAGTTTGCCGTTGCTCTCAGTGTCCTTTTTATGCATAGTATACCATATTGGCCTGAATATAAGATGACCCCAATTATAACATGACCCCCTCCCCCCCCACACACACACATACTTTTTGGCAAGTTTTTTTAGAAAAATTCTAATGCAAGAAATTTTAGGGCTACATTACGGTACGTCTTAGGGCTATTTTACGGTAATTGATATTACGGTAAGTCAAAACACTCGTTACAAAATATGGGATTGGCGCCATCTATTTCCATTTAAGATGACACCACCTTTTCAGAAAACAAAACGTCTTATATTTGGGCCAACATGATATCTTATTTTCAACTGTGCAGAAAATCACAGTGTTTTTCCCTAATCTGTGTGTTCAGGTTCCCCAGGGCTGTCAGTGGACAAACAGGAGGTGACTGGTGTGGAAGGAGACAGTGTCAGTGTTCAGTGTCACTATACAGATGATTATGGTCAGAGGATGTGGTGTAAGATGGGCGGCTCCTGTGTATCAGTTAGATCTGGGAGTTTGGATCAGAGGCCTGTCCTGATAAGGGATGACACAGTAAATAAAGTCTTCAGTGTGACAGTGAGGGGACTGGAGACGAAGGACACAGGCTGGTATTGGTGTGCTGCTGGAGACCAGCAGATACCAGTTCATATTACTGTCAGTCAGACGACTACAACCACAACCAGCACTGAAGGTAACTGATTTAAATCTGGATGTGAATCATTTATGCTTCATTATAAATAGATAAATGCTAAATGACCCTAACAATTTCACTGATAAAGGGAGCTTGTGACTTTTGTAGGATAATCTGGGGGGGTCTGTGTTTACCAGGGTATTACCAACAAGCACCAGGGTGAACATATAAGTATCTTTATCATCTTCTGCAGTATGTTCCATGGGTCACACACTATGATGAAATTGCCATCTTGTTGGTCATAGTGCAATAATGTGATGAATAGAATATTAATATGAAAGACATTTAAAGACTGACAATCTGACTATTGAAACATAAAGAGGCCTGAAGCCCGAAGTAAATTTCCTATAGGGGGTTACGCCCCCCACCCAGGTCCTCCTGAAGCCCACAGTCACTTCCTCGCTCCTGTCGATGTTTAGCAGCAGACTGTGGGCCTTGCACCACTCCACCAGCTCTCTCCCCCCTGTCTGTACGCAGACTCGTCTCCCCCCCTCATGAGGCCGTCATGCTGCTGTCGTCTGCATACTTTATGATGTGGTTAGAGGCGGTCTTGGTGGAGCAGGCGGATGTCAGTAGTGGGAATACTAGGGGGCGGAGGCAGAGGTCTGGGGTAGTTCCTGTGCTCAGACTGACAAGAGCAGAAGTGATATTTCCTGCCCTGACAGACTGTGGTTTCTCTGTCAGAAAGGCCAGGGTCTGGTTGCAGTGCCAGTATTATGGTGCTCTCTGTAGACCATTTGAACGGTATGCAAACCTCTATGGATCAAGGGAGACGGGGAGGTTTACCTTGATGTGTTTTTAAATGCTTAAACAGATTGGCACTTTCTTACTTGTCCAATCTTTTACAAATTTACATCCCAACTAGAGCACTTAGGTCAACTAGCCAGATGGTTCTAGAGGTACCAAGATCGAGAGGCAAACAGAGGGCTGATCAGGCTTTTTCAGCAGCTGCTTCCTCTCTATAGAACAGCTAACTGTGTCATATCAGAAACTCCCCCTTATTAATCACTTTTAAGTCATTATTGCAAACTAACTTCTTCACGCTGGTTTATCAACAGAGGCTGGGATGAGACATTTCTCTTCTTCTATTTTATTGTTGTCTTATTTTCCATCGGTTCCTTTATGTGTGCTTGAGCCTACAGTGCATGCATTGTTATATTTTGTAATAGATATTCTTTAATTGTGATTGATTTTATAAATTTTTTTACTGTACAGCAGTTTGGTCAGCACTGGCTATTTTTAATGTGCTTTTCATATAAATTTGACTTTGACTTTGAATCCCAGGGGGAAATATCAACATATGTCGTATGTCCCTGGTGGTGTGTAAAAGCACATGGATATTTTTGTGCATAAGCCCTTATTGCGGCTCTGATGGCCCATGACAGGGCGGCTCTAGCTGTCCTGAGGGCCACAGGGTCACCAGACCTGAAATTCTTTGAACTCCCCTATTTAACTGTTGTTAAATATGGTTATTTATTGGGATTATACTGTAGTTTCTATACAGGTGACACAGTGAACCAGTAGGTGGCGCTGTTGCTTCACCCCTCCTTGTTTAGGGGTTTGAATCTGGCTTCTGCTCTGTGTGTGTGGAGTTTGCATGTTCTCCACATGCTGTGTGGGTTTCCTCCCACAGTCCAAAGACATGCAGTCAGGCTAATTGGTGTCTCTAATAGAGAGTGTGTGTCTATGTGCCCTGTGACTGACTGGCATCCTGTCCAGGATGTACTCTATCCCTGTGCCCTGTCCTGCCTGGGATAGGCTCCAGGCCCCATATCCCTGACCAGGAGGAGGGGTTAGAAGATAGATGGGTAGATGGCTGTAGTTTTATGGGTCTGTATGAATGGACTGAAAGATCTTTAGGACTAACAAAACTTGGTTTAAACAATTTTTAAATTAACAATATTTTCTCCTGTTTCCACTTCTGTACATATTTTAGCATATGATGAAGAAGGAGTGAATAATGAAAAACCGAGGTAAGCATTTAACAGCATTTACAGTAGTGACCACACTGTGCAGCTAGCATTTACCTGATCACACAGTAATGGAATACCTCTGTTATGTTTATGGGAATAAAAACATTACTTGAGATGGCCTCCTATACAGCCTGAGCCTGTCTTATGCTGTTTGAAAGATGGATGGATGGATGGATGGATGGACTGATTTTACAAAATAGTGTAATGTCGTATAATATTAACTGGCAAATTCTCCAGCTATTCTCAAGTTCTTTGTTAATGTCTCCTGTTCCTCACATGTAGCCTGTGTAATAGTACAGATGTGGCTGAACCATGTTGCTATAAAGCATGTGAGACTTTACTGTTCAGATCCACCCTCTTATTCAGCTCCTTGGTCCAGCTGGCTCTGTATGTAGGACTGGGCTTATTGGTGCTGCTGTTGATCATCAAGGTGGTAATAATTCTATCTGTAGATTCACTGCATTGTTCTTCAGGTTTAAATGTGATACGTGTGACTGACAGACACACTAATGACTGATGATTATATGTCTGACAGGTGGGATCCGGTTCTGGGTGCTGTACTGAAAGCTGGGACTGGTGTGTTTTATCTGATTTGCACCATCATCGCCATTCAGCTGCACTGGAGCTCCTATAGAAAGAGGGGATCCAATCAGAGAGAAGCAGAGGGAGGAGCCAATACAAACCATGAGTCTTAGGGAATTGTGATTAAATTTACAAGCTCATTAATCCCATTATAATGACTAGCATCAACTGAAGAAACCTCAAGGTTGTATCTGCAGGCTTACGCTGTGAAATATATTTTAATATTTCAGATTATGCTGTAGCCATTTATTTGTCCATGAATCTTCCAGTGTCGGAGGAAGCTGGGAGGGGAATGACCTTTGTGGAGTAAAATGAGACAGAAGACCTGTAAAATAAATGGTTATGCTAACTGCAGTGAGGCCTCTCTCACGCAGCCCTGCTCAATCTGTCCAGTAAGTAAAACACACAGTGGTTGATCTGCAGTGTAGGATTGTGTGCTGGGAACCTGTACTGCCAGTGCTTTCTACTGCTAATGGCCTCTTCTTTACACGTGCTTTGCTGCCACCTGCTGGTTAAAGTTGTATTGCTTATGTAATAGGTTCGTATTTTTACTTTAATACAGTCAGGACCATAAATACAGTGGTACCTCAGTTCTCGAACTCATTAGAACTCGAATTTCTTAACCCTATGGAGTGCACCAGGGGCCCCTTGCATGGGGGGGCATTTCTTCCACAAATTCCACAAATGAGAAGTAGTGCTTAAGCAGTATAAAACTACAACTTTCCCTTCTGTTGATAAAGGGCGCAGCCATCTTGGATTCTGAACTCGGGATCCTCTGTGCTGCTCTGAGATATTTCTCGGATCTCCGAGAAAAGGGAGCGCATGTTGTCACTTCCGGCTTCAAAACTCCGGAAAACGACTCGGAATACAAGTGCCGAGGGCAAATGAAACGCACTAAAACTGCCCGAGATGGGTTGACAGAGACATTTCAGGGATTTTGAGTCATTCTGCGCTGCAGATGGGTTAATTGCGTTAAAATTTTTAATCAGATTAATCATGATGATGGATTAATCCGCGTTAACTCGTTAATTTTGACAGCCCTAAGTACAGTATATGCTCTTCTTGTTTTATCCGGTTCATTTTATGTTTAGATGCTAAAAAAAACATATTTAGGTGTAATTTTTTGGGGCCGGGAACCAATTAATTGGTATTCCATTATTTCTTATGGGGAAAGTTTAATCAACTTTTTAGGATTCGATCCGGAGATCTGAACGGATTAAATTCGAGTTCTGAGGTACCACTGTATTTGGACAGATACAAAGTTTTTCAGTTTTTAAGTTCTGTACATTACCACAACAAATTTTAAAAGAAACAAGTCAGATGCAGTTGAAGTACAGACTGTCAGCTTTAATTCAGTGGGTAGAACAAGAACATTCCATAAAAATGTGGGGAACTAAAGTAATTTTTCTACACAATCCCCCCCCCCTTTCAGGGGCTCATAAGTAATTGGATAAATGAATATAACTGCAAATAAAATGTGCAATTCTAATACTTAGCTTATAACCCTTTGCAGGCAATGACTGCCTGAAGTCTTGAACTCATGGACATGACCAGACGCTGGGTTTCCTCCTTTTTAATGCTCTGCCAGGCCTTTACTGCAGTAGCTTTCAGTTGCTGTTTGTTTGAGGGTCTTTCTGTCTGTAGTTTAGTCTTTAGCAAGTGAAATGCATGCTCAATGGGGTTGAGATCAGGTGACTGACTTGGCCATTTGAGAATATTCCACTTCTTTGCTTTAATAAAGTCCTGGGTTGCTTTTGCTGTGTGTTTTGGGTCATTGTCCATCTGTATTATGAAACATGGGCCAATCAATTTGACTGCATTTGGCTGGATTTGAGCAGACATGATGTCTCTGAACATCTCAGCATTCATTCGGCTGCTTCCATCCTGTGTCACATCATCAAGAAACGCTAAAGACCCAGTGCCACTGGCAGCCATGCACGCCCAAGCCATCACACTGCCTCCACCATGTTTTACAGATGAGGCGGTGTTCTTTGGATCATAAGCTGTTCCAGCCCTCCTCCATACTATTTTCTTTCCATCATTCTGGTACAGGTTGATCTTGGTTTCATCTTGGTTTCATCTGTCCAAAGTATGCTGCTCCAGAATTGTGCTGGCTTTTTTAGATGTTTTTTTGCAAAGTCCAATCTAGCCTTTCTATTTTAACGGCTTATGAGTGGCTTGCATCTTGCAGTGAACCCTCTGTAATTGCTTTCATGCAGTCTTCTCTTTATGGTAGACTTGGATATTGATACGCCTACCTCCTGGAGAGTGTTGTTCACTTGGTTGGCTGTTACGAAGGGGTTTCTCTTCATCATGGAAATGATTCTGCGATCATCCACCACTGTTGTTGTCCGTGGACGTCCAGGCCTTTGTGCATTGCTGAGTTCACCAAAGCTTTCTTTCTTTCTCAGGATGTACCAAACTGTGGATTTTAATTTTTTGCGTTGTCAGCTGGAAAATCTCAAGCACAAGACCCATACTCATACCTATGGATGAGTGTGGGCTTATTTTTAGTGGCTGGAGTGTTAATCCTGCCACTGACCCCCATTCTCAACATGTATGTTGAACTTCCCTACTAGGCTGAACAACGATTAACATCACACCCAAGATTGCTCAAGGACCAAACAGAGCAAGATAATTCCTGACATTCACAGGATTTAAATCAGCAACATTATGACTGCTGATACAGATCCCCAGCCTAAGAGCTGTAGCTCCAGGCTATTATGTATCTAATAATACATCAGAGAGACTGTCTGTGGCATTCCATTTTCAGTTGCGGTGGGTTTCAAAATATGGGCTTCCAAAAATCAAGCCTAATAAAAAAAATTAAATATTAAATGAGCAAATTCATTTGATTTGTCCTTCTATCCCAACTTGTGATCTAAAAGCAATGAGGCTGCCACACATAATATCTGCTCTATGGAAATGCACTCCCATAGCCTCTAGGGGAGCTCTCACCTTCTTTCAGGTCTGCTAAATTATGTTGCAATTCATTCCACTTGAAAAGATACAACTTAAATAGAGTCAGTGTAAGTGTGTGGCTCGGTAGCCTAAGTATTTGGTCTTGTAATCCACAGATTGCTGGTTCAAATCCAGCTTCAGCTACACAGCTGCATGTTTATGGGCCCTTGAGCCATGAAAAATAATGAATGTAGTGAATTACTATATTCTCAAATTACTCTTTGTAGTTTTGTGAGCAACACCATTTATTAAACAAACAATTCTGCATTGGCAGAATGAAAAATTAAAATAAACTATTAGTTAAGAAATATTCCTTGGAACAACAAACTGTGGAAATCTGAATTTACAGTATTACTTGAAGAAAGAGTCTGTTAACTTAACAGAAAATGTGCTGGTAATTTTCTGCCAGTACATTTTCTGTTTTTTGACGGATTTTTTTTTTTTTACAGTGTAGAACTGCCCTTTTAATCAAGGTATTTGATCATTGATTGATTGATGAAACCCTTTATTGCTGTTGCAATACACCATGTCACTAGTCACAAGTACCAGCGAAAAAACTGGCCATCAACCTGACCATACATATACAAACATCACATACACAAATAGGGGGTAGACAGGTCAGGAAGACAGGGGACTATAGGAAAACTCAGAGAACCAAGATTACGTGAGGAGAGTGGAGGTGAATAAAAAAAAACAGCCCCCAGACTGTA